TAGTTATGCATGAAGATGAGAAGATTGGTGGACTACCAGTGCATCCTCCCGAGTATGATGAGTTTGCATTTTGTGTGAACACAAGTGGACTGTTTGACATAGGGTATAAAGGCAGCCCTTTCACTTGGTGGAATGGAAGGCCAAATGTTAAATGTATCTTCAAAAGGCTGGATAAGATCTTAGTGAACATACCATTTCAAACTATTTTTCCTACTATTGAAGTGGAACATCTAATTAGAACAGGATCTGATAATGCTCCTTTATTTCTGAGTTGTGGTGAACAAGCATCTCAATTTGTCAAGCCATTCAAGTTCTTGAATTTATGGACTAAGCATGAAACCTTCAATTAGGTTGTGAGGCAAAGCTGGGTGGCAGACTTCATAGGGGATCCTTTTCTTATGTTTAAACATAAATTGAAGAGGGTGAAGATTGCTTTGTCAACATGGAGCAAGGTGACATATGGTGACATTTTCAAGCAGCTTGCAATCAAGGCTGCAGTAGAATTTTTTCAGAAGTAATTCACAAAAGAGGCAGATCCTACATCCTTTGAACTTCTCAATAATGTCCCTGCTATGGTATCTAATGAGCATAATATGGAACTTTGCAGAATGCCTACTAGAGAAGAAGTTAAGGGGGCAGTGTTTGATTTAAGTGGTGAGAGTGCTAGTGGCCCTGATGGCTTCACTGACATGTTCTTTCAGGAATGCTAGGACATAATAGGGGATGGCATATATAACATGGTGCAGGTGTTCTATGATGGGGGTTATCTACCAAAATCTATTACACACACAAACCTTGTACTACTTCCTAAAATTCCTAGGGTACAGACTTTCTCTGATCTTAAACCCATAAACTTAAGTAATTTTGTAAACAAGGTGTTCTCTAGAGTGGTGCATGACATATTGGAGAAGATTCTGCCATCTTTGATCTCCTCTAATCAATCAGGTTTTATCAAGGGAAGAAATATCTTTGAAAACATCTTGCTAACATAGGATATTCTCACTGATATAAGATTGGGAGGTAAACCTGCCAATGTGGTGATCAAGTTGGACATGGAAAAGGCATATGATAGGGTATCTTGGAAGTATTTGATGCATGTGTTAAGGAGGATGGGGTTTGCTGAATGCTTCATCAATATGGTATGGAATCTTATAGATAATAACTGGTATTCAGTGTTGATAAATGGGCAAGCTTCGGGCTTCTTTCATTCAACAAGGAGAGTCAAACAAGGAGATCCATTGTCACCAGCTTTATTCATACTGTCAGCTGAGGTACTATCTAGATCATTGAATAAACTATTTGAAGATAAGAAGTTTAAGGGATTTGGCATGCCTAAGTAGACTGATCCTTTAAATCACTTAGCTTATGTTGATAATACAATAATCTTTGCTTCTGCTGATCCATATTCTTTAGAGAAGATTATTGAAGTCCTGTCCAAGTATGAGCACACTTCTAGCCAAATGATCAACAAGGCAAAAAACTCATTTTATATGCATTCTAATGTGGCTGGAGCATTGTTTAATTCTATAGGGGCTATCACTAGATTTTCAAGGGGTGAGTTTCCATTTACTTATCTTGGCTGCCCAATAGTTTATACAAATAGGAGGAAAGATTACTACAATGATCTTATAAAGAAGGTGAAGGCAAAAGTACATTCTTGGAAGGGGAAGCTACTGTCTTATGGGGCGAAGCTACCTTGATCTCTATTGCGCTACAAAGTATGCCTACTCACATTCTTTCAGTACTAGATCCACCAGATAATGTTCTTGAGCATCTACATAAAACATTTGCTAGGTTTTTCTAAAGTAACAAGGAAGAAGGTAGAAGCAGACACTAAACTAAATGGCAAAACCTATGCCTACCTAAAGAGAAAGGTGGAGTAGGGTTCACATCACTGGTTGATGTCTCTAAAGCATTGTTTGATAAGCTGTGGTGGAAGTTTAGAACTTCCAACTCTCTACAGTCAAACTTTATGTGGAACAAATACTGCAAGAAAGAGCTGCCTACAGTGGTTCAATATAGGGAAGGATCACATGTATAGAGGAAGATGGTGGAGGCAAGGGAAGAAGGGGAACATGAGATCTTATGGGAAATGAATAGGGGATAAACTAATATTTGGCATGAGAACTGGAGTGGACTAGGAGCTTTGTATCATATGGTACCTCCTGATTTTCCAATCAATGAAGAACTACAGGAAGTGGCTGACTTAAGAGATGATGAGGGCTGGAATGAGCAACTCCTGGAGCAGTCTTTTCAAATGGATATTGCTGATCATATTAGACAGGAAGTGCATTTTGACAATATTGATGACTACTGGGATAGACTAAGATGGATTCCTACTCCTTCAGGTAAGTTTTCTGTTAGTAGTGCTTGTAAAATTCTGAGGCATAGAGAACCTACTAATCCTGAGCTCAACAAGATGTGGACTAAAGGCTTACCCTTTAAAATCTTCTTATTCTTATGGAGATTATGGAAAGGGATGATTCCTAATGATGATTTGTGGAGAAGAAGTGGATACATAGTGGTGTCTAAGTGATGGAGTTGCTTACAACCACAAGAGGACTCATTTCAACATTTTTTCTTAACAAGTGAAACTGCAACTAGTGTGTGGAAGACATCCCTTCAGGAAGCAGTATTGGTAGTGAATTTAGTGTAGGTTCATCAAGTGATAATAGCATGTTGGAATGCACAATGTTTTCCCAAACTAAAGCCATTGTTTAAGGTAGCTCCAGCAGTGATTACATGGGAACTTTGGAAGAGGAGAAACACAATGAAGAATGGGGGTGCAGTGTCTTGCAATAGGGTGATCCATGAGGTGAACAAGACTCTACATTATCTAGAAAGAGTGAGGTATCCATGGTTGTCAAGCATTCCTATTTTATGGCTAGATATAATCAGATATTTTGAAGGCTACAAGCCATATGCTGTGACCAAGAGAGTGACATGACAGTTTCCTTATGAAGGGTGGTTCAAATGCAACACTGATGGTGCATCTAGAGGCAATCCTAGACCTAGCTCCTATGGTTTTTGTGTACGAGATCATGTTAGTGATTTGTTATTTGCTAAGGTAGTAGAGACAGGGGAGGCAACTAATATAGTGGCAGAAGCTAAGGCAATTGTAGAGGGGCTGGCATATTGTGTTGAAAAGCAGTTGCATCCACTGATTATGGAGACTGATTCTTTGGTAATGAGGAAGTTCATTGATGGGGAATGGGAATCTCCTTGGTGTATAGGGGCTGAAGTGAGGAAGATTAAGGAGATAAAGAGCAACCACAATGTACTCTTTTAGCATGTATTAAGGGAAGGCAACATTGTTACTGATTTTTTAGCTAACCTAGTTTTCTCTTTTGTAGGTAAACTTACATATCAGTCATTTCATGAATTTCCAACTGAAGGAAAAACTTTGATAAACATTGACAAAGCACAAATACCTAACCTTAGGGTTAGGGTTGCCACGAGAAAAGAACATGATTGATGAAAGTTTACTATAGTTTACTGTCTGTTTTTGCTATTGACTACACCCTTTTTCATTCTCATATAGTGTGTAAGGAATTTTTAGTGGTATTAGAATGGCAATATGCTCATTCTGGAGGAAGTTATACATTGTATGGAACATGTAGGGCAAACAGGCAAGCTAATAATTCAAATACAAGGTTACAAGGTGAAGTACTTCTAGCTAGTAGGGTTTGGTATTGGTGAAGTGTTTTAAATAGTCTTGTCTACTGGTTATTCATTGGTATACTCAGTGTGAATGAGTTCATAATTCTAGGTAGAAGGCTGGAACTAAGTGTTGCTTTGTATGAATTGATGATGCATCTGTTGCTTGATTCTTCGCATATTAGTAATTGTATAGTGTTGTATCATTTTCCAGTGGTATAAGTGTGGTTTCATACTCATTCTGGAGATGAGAAGGAAGTGTATAGATTATATTTATCAAGAAGACAGTTGCTTTACTATACACTTGTTCCCAGAATCATTATGACTGACCACAAAGATGACTGTTTTTCATGGAGATTGAAGAGCTCAAGTTGTACCAACACATTGTTATTGCAGTTCTGGATTGCTTCTATGCATTGGTGTGATTGTTTGGAGTCCATATTTGCCTTGTCCACAGGAATCTTCTATTTTGGAATGCATAACCTGGCACCTGGTGAGAGCTTTGGAGGTGCTACTATTTGGTTATTGCCCTTGGCATTAGGATTCACTTGCACTGATTGTTCCTGGAAGCATACATCCTACTTCATTATAATAGCTAGATTGTTAGTTCTAGTTTTACCATTTATAGTACTAGCTAGTAATAGTTTACATATTTTAGATTGGTTTGGACATATTGTAAGACTTGGACCCATGTTTTTGGGATTTTATATATATATATATTAGCCACTAGGCAACCAACCTAGTGGTATATTTGCTAAAAACTAATTGGTGGTCAACAGTTGCCCCTCTTTTACCGGAGACGATGAAAGAGTTTTCGGGCAAAGAAATTGAACCAAATCCAATTTTGTCCTGACTTTTTAGGCATATATTGCAGGAATAGCACAAAGATTAGGATTTTTAGGATTAGGAGTTAAGGAAGATTCTGGGAGGATTTTTGGATAGTTGGGGGACAAATTCGGGCTTTGAATTACTTACATAATCAACTATCCTTTCCCTCCTTATATCATCTCCTTTCCCAGTATCATTAGGATTAGGAGTTGAGATAGATTCCGCCTTTTAAATCCCTTCTCCTGTAGGATTAGTAAGTCCTTCCTTTGCCTCTATACTAATCCCAGTGTTCTTAGGATCAGTGATGGTATCTTCGGCATTCTTCAACTTCTCCTTCTCCTGTGCTTTCTTGGATTCATTGCCAATTGCTTCTTCCCTTTTTCATTGACCTTATCATCTCCTTTGCCATAAGTGATCCTCAAGGTTGGTTGATCAATTTCTTCTACTTCTAATGCATCGAATTTGTTCTTGGTTGCTACTGCATCTTTAGTGACCTTTCCTTTGCTTTTGCTATCCTATTTCTCCTTTGAATTGTCAATAATATGGCCACTTCTATTTCTTTGATATTTATTCTGCCTCATTTGCATCCATTCTTGCTTTGTTGGATTAGCATTGGACTTTCCCAACACCTTTCCACTAGTTAAAACCTTGGTAGTATTAGTTGTCATACCAACCAATTCTTTGTCTTTGTCACAATCATCAACTCTTTCCTCAAATGTTTTGTGCAACTCCGGGTCAATTACCGAGCATTCCAATTCATTATGTCCTTGTTTATTGCAAGCACTACAATACTTGGGTATGTAATCGTACTTAATCTTTATCCACTTGAACTCCTCAAGCCCAAACTCATCCTCTTCCTCTACTAGTTTAATACGTTGAGAAAACTTAGATAATAAATTAACCTCAACTTTCACCTTAGCACAACTAGGTCTAGTATCATTTTGAGTTGCAAGATTAACATGTAAAGGATTCCCAACTGCACTTGCCAATGAAAAAATACATTCCTTACCAAAGAAATTAGGTGGCAATTCTGGAAAACGGATCCATGCTACTGCTATTGGAGTGTTTTCATCAGGCTTCCACCATGGATTCCACTTTGTGCATCTCATCTGCCACATATCTCCTTGAGCTTTTAAGTAGAAGACATGCTTTGACAATAGATGAACATAATCCTCCATAAGTGATAACCTTATCAACACATAATTGTCCTATATTAATCCAATAAAATAGGCTCCTTTAAGCTCGCATTGTATAGGTATAACCTTGCATAATTCACTGATGGCATGTTTTTCATATGAAATTTCCCAAGAACAGCTAATTGTAAACCTTGTTGAATGATGGATTGTTTCACCTCCTGCTTCTTCCAGTTGATAACAGGCTCGCCATGAAGAAACTCAATTGTTTTGAGAGGTAGTTTGGCTAGGGTTTGCATGGGCGTATTTAATGCTTTTGGTTGAAGCAATTGCGTGTAGTTTTGTAATGGATTGGGGTTCGTAATGGATTGGGGAGGCTGTGAGGCAGTGTTTGACCACTGACCAACCTCAAGAGGAGGCTGGCCAGTGGCCGGAGTAGCCATTAAAGGCTTTGAGCGAGCTTCGTTTACAGTCGTCGCAAATCACCTGTCGCCAGAGCTCTTTCCTCACGCGTGGGGTTTTCGCCAATTTTGACCCTCTCTTTTAAAATTAATTTATTTATACTTAATAGTTTACAATAAATATATTGAAAATGTATTCAATCAATAACAATTATTTTGACAAGATTAATTTAGTATTAGTAATTTTAAAATTAATAATTCAATGTAATAACTGTACCATGCTTGCTATTTTTAGATTACCAATTAGTTGCATAAAACATCACATAGGCTTTACAGTTGATTCAATGAATTATTTCTTAAATTCTAATTAATTGGATTACTATGTTAATAATTTGATATTAATGCTACAATTCGAAAAAATAAAGTATTTTGAAATAATTAATTACAATAGTTAGTAATATATATGATAATTATAATTTTATTATATTTTATTGGAAATAATTAAGTTTATGTAATTTAATTTCAAAAGGGATTAAAATGGCTAAAGTCTATAATTGCAATTCTCTTTTGAATACAAAATGGCCATCTTTTAAATTTATTTGGCCCAAATAACAAGCCCAATCCGGAAAATACCCAATCCAAATAACCGCTCCCTCTCCACCTTGGCAATGCATTCCACTCCCATTAAACCAATCGGACCTCGCCACGTCACCCATCCCAATCACTCACAAAAGAAGCACAAACTATCTGGGTCGTCCATTCCACAGATCAATGGCCCGCAATTTTAACTCCATTTTCCTTATTTTTAATACACCTCCAGATCTAATCCTCACCGTCCAAATCCAACAATCCAACGACCGTTAAATTTTGTCCATAAATCATCTTTAAAACAATCAACTCTCAAAGTAATCAGAGTCGTTGATCAAATGATCCAACTACTCACGTTCAGTCTCTCATTCTTATCCCCAGAGACAACCAGACCACCCCAAAACCCTAGAATCATTTTCTATTGACTCTATCGCCTCTTTTTTCTTTTCCTCTCTAAACTCTCTCGACCTGCCATGAACAAAACAATCACAGACCTTGCACAAATTTGTGCAAGGTCACAAATCTTGACCTAGAATCATTCCTTATGCTTCCCTATCCGCAATTCTCGTCCTCACATTACCGTTTCATCATAGAGATTCAAAATCTCGAGTCTTCTGACCCAAACACAAACATGAAACTCCATGTCTTCAAATCTTCTTATGCTGCGACGAATTAATGAGCTCCTCATGATGATTATTCTGAACCAGAGGTCAAATGCAATGACCTCTGGACCTCCGGTCTTTGTCCGATGGGTTCTTCACTTGTAACAACTGTCGTGCACTCAGGTAAAAGTCTCACTCATATTTTTTTCAGATTCACTCAGATTTCACTCAGATTTTACCCTCTCTGCTATCATCATCTATCCCTCGTCATCTTCCACTATTGATTTTGAATCTGAAACCCTAGGGTTTCACAACCACAATAAATTAGGGATTTTAATGCCTTCACCTAAAACACACAACAAGACATATTTACTAACTACACCTAATATCTAAAACTTTAATACGCAATACAGTGTTTAGGAAGATTTCGACTAAGCTGAGTTCTTGGTCAATTTTCTACTCTTCTTTTCCTCTCTGATTCTGAGTGGATTACTGATTAAGATCCTTAGCTCTTGGTTTCCTAAAGGATAATTTGAATACTCATTTGGTTTCTTGCCCCAAAGGTCAGTGAAACTTCAACCGTACTCTTTTTTTTACTAGTTTAAATCCCTGAATATGAAGTGATTTACTATCTCTGTCGATTGATCTTATTGATTGTGTATTTATGCCTTTTAGTTGTTTTATGTGTTTGTTAATGACTGATGAGTAGATTCTGCAACCCTGAACCTCTTCTAAAAATATTTGAATGCTGACATACATATGTTGGTTCATGTCAATTGTTAACTTTGAAATGACTTCTCGACTTTATTAATATTAGTTCCAAACCCCTCTCTCTCTTATGTTCTGTTAACATTGTCGTGATTGTTGAACTAATCTGTCTTGAACATTATTTTATCATTCTACATTTGTTCATTCAATCTAATAGAGCATGATTCTGTTAGATGTTAAAAATCAGATTGTTATTATGGTGTTAATACATTGGCTTTTGACCTTTCAATCTATTCTTACCTCTATGGTGTATCTCTATGATTCTATTGATTACTTGATTGAACTCATGACTGTTTATATAGGTATATCTTGAATTAGTTAGATCTTCATGCTACATTGTGTATGATTCTGAGATTGTTTTATGTTGAACCTAAGTTATGAAAAGCTGTTAAAATATACTTAAGTTGTGATAACACATTTGTTCATTCAGAACACTGTTTCTAAGTTTCCTTTGTACCCGAAGTAATCCAAGGCATACTTTTCATGTTTCCCTTAATGTGATGATATCTTTATCCTTTTCTTGCACCTCACATGATGACATTGTTAGTAGCACTTCTATGATATGATCTCTACTAAGTCCCCTTTGCGTGTGTTTGTGATCCTGGGTTTAGCTATGTTATCCAACATCTCTGTTTACCCCTCGTGACTATATACATGCCCACATTGCTTTGAAACCTCACTAAGTTCTCTTAAGTATACTAGACTTAACTTGTGAACTCTCAAAGAAGTAAAAATATCATTAATTCTTAAAATTAAATATGATTTATGGTTTGAAATCCTGCTAAGTACTCTTAGGAGCTTTAATTGGATTTATGAATTTGTGACCTTGTTAATATCATTAGAAGTTCTAATCACAGTTTGTTGATTTATGATCATGTTAATCCCCTTAGAAGTGTTGTTCTAAGATAAAATTTGTGTCCTGTCATTGCTTCAGAAATCCTAATGGTAGTTTGATATCTGCGGTAGTATCGGTGGGAGTTCTGATTATGGTTACCGCTTTTGAACTTCTATCAATACTTCTTGAATGTCCTATTTAAAGTTCTTAGCTTGCCCCTCATGATTAAGGTTATTGATCTGTATTTATCATTGAAGTTGTTTGAACTGTATGTGTATTTGCATTCTTTAGAAATCATCAACTGTAGTAATGAACATGTAATGTGGTTAGCACTCTTTAGGGATTTTAGTTGTGATTGTTAACCTACCCTCTCCTAATTCCCTCAGATGTTTAGTTGCCATTGTTAGACTACACCTCTGTTAACATTTTCAGAATTCTAAATTAGCATTGTTAACCCGTGTATACTTAAAGGGCAAGGATTAATCAACCTGTGATTAGTGTAATTGAGTGATGTTAAGGCAAATGCACCTGTGTTTATAAGTTGTTACAGATTGGAACTATGCTCTCTTTACCATCAAGATGCTTAACCTCAGATGTTTTATTTCTTAGCAGTAGCATGATAATGTGTGTTAGAAACCTATTTCTTTTGGATGTTTAATGTGTTAATCATCCAATTAGTTTTGGAAATAGTTATAATAATGTAGATAAATAGTTTTGCAGTCTTATGGTATTCTGTTTTGTCCCTCATGAGAAAGATATATACTTATGTGATATGGTGTTGCTATGGTGATTGGTTTATATTAAAAGTGCCTCATTGGCACTTAAACATGTGGGTAAGAGTGAGTCATTAATAGTTAGGGATACTTGGGAGTAGATTTTAACTCTTGGTTGGGCTGCTCTCCCTGACACAAGCATTGTCCTGGGCCCTTGAGACCCTTGAAAATTTTGAAGTGTTAGGGGATTCAAAGGGGGCTTTGACTTTGAGTGGAACTCTACCATTTACCTCTAATCCATTGATATTCATTACTCTTTTTGGGTTTAGTGTTTAGTGACAATGAAAGGTTTTTAATGTAAATCATTTTACCATATGTAACCCCCATATTAGTATAACCTTTCATAATATTTAATTACTTTTAGTTGTTATATTTTGTTCAAGTCACTTATACACTCCATGCATGATTGTATGTATAGAATATTATTTCTAATGACTTTCTCTCTTTCTTTTTTGAACATGTGCAGCCATTGGACCTGCTGAGTTTTTAAGGAACTCAGGCCCAAACCTCCTACTAGTACATCTGAAAGCCTTAGTTTACTGTTATCCGTCCCTGCTGATTGCTGGGCCTACCACTTTGAGGCCCAAACCAGAGTCACTCCTCACCCTTTTACTGCTTCATTATATTTCGTTATGTATATTCTTTTACATGTATATGACGCTGCTCTCATCATATTTGATTTAATATTTTACTTTATCTTTTGAATTTCATAGACAACTTAGGCAAGCCTTAAAGGACATAGGATTAAAAGAAATATTAGGTAGTAACCAATTCTCCATTCGTTAATCATGTACTAATCACTAATCTTATATGTTTTGCTAATCCTTTCATGAAGATTTTTGAAGCTGAAATAACTTAGCAAAGACGACATCCCTTATTTTTCAAAACCAGAAACGAATCGCAAGGCTAGCCTTCTAAAATAAAATCAACTCTTTCAAAAACCAAAGTGATGCTGCCTAACAAAGATTAGGCTCACTTTCTTACAAACATCTCTTAGAGTTACATGAACATCCATTCTCTAAAAAATCAAGTGTTTTATAACTTATCCAATTTCCATATGCTTTATAAATATAAACCATTTATGTACATATTTTAAAAACTCTTTCAATTATATCCACCAACATTATTTTTCAAGACTCCTTTATAAATTCACACCCTTTTTAAAGTCTTACATCCCTTTTATTAATATCACACTCTCACTTAGATATACAGTAAGTCGTACCCTTTAACACTAATTAAGTAGAGTACAAATAATTAATCTTTTAAACCTAGTCTAAATCCTATGGAGCTACCTCAGGTAGATTTTAAGGGGTGCCTAACACTTTCCCCTTAGAAGAACAAGAACCCTTATCTACCGGTTAGCAGACTAAAAAAGAACGTGACTTTTGTAATTAAATAGGTACCCTAGTATACCTTTAAATATTAGGTGGCAGCTCTCGTTTATCAACAATAAAAGAAATCACAAGTTGAATCTTG